AGGGAAATATGCATGTTAGCCTAGATAACCAAATTCTTTCAAAGTGGTTGTATGAAAAAGTAGTCTACTTCCAACAGTGTATATTTGCCGCCGCCTTTGCCACATTTTTGCCACATCTTTACCAACATTTGGAATAGTCACACTTTTTACCTACCTAATATACTTAGTAATATCTAATTATGGTGTTAATTTGCATGACCATGACTACTAATGCAACAGAACATCTTTTCATTTGCATTATCTTTTGTCTCCTTTTCCCATTTTTTTTCCCAAGATTTGTTCATTTAGGCAAAATTCACGAGATACACTTAACCATTTTAAAGCGCATAATTCAGTGGTATTTAGTATAACTTCAGTGGTATTTGCTGTATTCATAATATTGTGCAACTATCGATTCTCTCTAGTTTTAAACCTTTTTCATCTGCATGTCGAAATACCCTGTACCCGTTTGAAGTGCAGACTTTTAACTTGGATGAATTTAAATGGATGTATTCTTTTCTTTCATTGCTTGTGCTTTAGGTGTCAAATCTAAGGATTAACTGCGAAATCTGAGGTCATGAAGAATTAGAAATCCTGTTTTTTTGAAAGAGTTTTATGATTTAGCACTTCTGTTTAGGTTGTTGATCCATCTCAAGCTCACATTTTATATTTGCATGTGTTTATCCCATTGTCCCAATACCATTTGTTGAAGAGACGTTTCTTTCTCCATGCAGTGGACTTACTGTCCTTCTGGGAAATCTATTAGTCATAGATGTTTGGGTTTATTTCTGGTTTTTCAGTTTTATTCCATTAGTTTACAAGTCTGTTCTTATGCCAGTCCTATGGATTACTGTAGCTTTGTAGTAGTAAGTGTTACAATTGGAAGAAGTGAGTCCTACTTTTTCATTTTCAATACACATTGCAGTTCCATATGGATTTTGGGCACGCATTGCAGTTGCATATGGATTTGAAGAGTGGCTTTTCATTTTTTTTCTTTTTTGAGATGGAGTCTTGCTGTGTCGCCCAGGTTGGAGTGCAGTGGCAAAATCTCGGATCACTGCAACCTCCACTTCCTGGGTTCCAACAATTATCCTGCCTCAGGCTCCTGAGTAGCTGGGATTATAGGCACGTGCCACCACGCCCAGCTAACTTTTTTACTTTTAGTAGAGACAGGGTTTCACCATGTTGGCCAAGCTAGTCTCAAACTCCTGACCTTGTGATCCACCCGTCTCGGTCTCCCAAAGTGCTGGGATTACAGGCGTGAGCCACCGCGCCCGGCCTGGCTTTTCATTTCAAAGGCCACTAAAGTGTTAATAGAGATTGCATTGAATCTGCAGATTATTTTAGCGAGTATTTTCATCTTCATGTTAAGTCTTCCAATCCATGAACATGGGATTTTAATCTCTTGCGTCTCCAACTGATGTACTGCAATTCAGTTCTGGTACTAGCTACCCAGAGTTAGTGTCAGACTCCATAGGTTTTAGCATATAGTGCCCAGTAAATCTGCCCTTACTTTAGGCCAACTAGCTACAATTCCAGTAAGTTCCCATGACTCTCTCCCCCTCCCCCCTTCATTTAGTAATTTACTACAACTCACATAATTCAGGAATGCACTAAAAATTATAGTTTTATTATGAAAGATAAGGATACAAATTAGGAACAGCCCAGTAAAGAGACACATAGAGAAAGGTCTGAAAGGGATCTATACACAGTTTCTATGCCCTTTCCTGGTAAAAGCAGGTGTGTCACCCTCCAAACACATTGATATGTTCACCAACAAGGAAGCTCCACTGAACTTTGGGGTGGAATTTCATTATGTAGGCATGATTGATTAATCATTGGCCACATGATTGAACCCAGTCTCCAGCCCCAGTTTCTTCCTCAGAGATTGGGCTAGCTAAAAATATTTTTGATGACTGCCCCAATTCCGAAGCTACTCAGGGGTCCACCATGAGTTACCACATTAGCATAAACTCAGGTGTGATCCATAACAAAGACACGTCTAGCTCTGTGCTAGGAACCCTAGGACAAAGACCTGACAAATTATTACACAGGGCACAAACAAGACCGGGAGTGAAAATGACAATGTCTTCCTATTTATTTAGTGGTTTCTTTTCTCTTGGATCATTTAGCTTTTTTTGTTGTTTGTTTGTTTGTTTGTTTGTTTTGTTTGAGACTGAGTCTTGCTCTGTTGCCCAGGCTGGAGTTCAGTGGCATGATCTCGGCTCACTGCAAGCTCCACCTCCTGGGTTCAAGTAGTTCTCCTGCCTCAGCATCCCAAGTAGCTGGGATTACAGGCACACACCACCACGCCTGGCGCACCACCATGCCTGGCGCACCACCACAGCTGGCACACCACCATGTCTGGCTAACGGTTTTGTATTTTTAGTAGGGACGGGGTTTCACCATGTGGGCCAGGCTGATTTTGAACTCCTGACCTCAAGTGAGCTGCCCACCTTGGCCTCCCAAAGTGCTAGGATTACAGACTTGAGCCACCGCACCCAGCCCATTTAGCTTTTTATTAATGATTTGAGAAAGATCTTATATTTTACATGCTAGTTCTTTGACAGTTAAATATTTTGTAAATATCATCGCCCATTCTGTGGCTTGCATCTTTTTAACAGATTTTATTCATAAGTGAGCTGTGAATCACACTTATACTGTTACACAACTTTGTTTTCCATGTAATTAATATTACCTTTTTGTCCATATATTTATCACTAATTTATATTCAAAATCTACTGGAAAATAAATCTCTTCCCGGTATGTTCTGTCAGCTTCTTAGGTTTAGAAACATCTCTTCGATGATCCTTTTTTTCTCTACTGACTGCTTGTACCACTATTACTCTAGAATTCTGTCTTCTTAAATTCACTGCCCTTCTGTGTTGTTTCTTGGATTCCTTGCCTTCTTGTTTCTTGGTCTGGTTCTTCTTCTTGATATTGGTGGCATGTGAGAAAGGATGAATGAGAATTAAATTTTGTGAGTTCTAGTATATTTTTCAACCACTATATTGATTCTTTGGCAGGGCATGGAATTCTTAAAATATTAAGAATTCTTTATTTTCTTAATATTTTAAAATATTAAAAATATTTTTCCTCAGAATTTTAAAGTTATGAGTTCTGTCTTATAGTATTATTTAGAACTACAAAGCCATTTTCATTCCTGGTGTTTGGTTTATACCCTGTCTTTGCATTTTGGAGCCTTTTAGGGTATTTTCTTTGTTTCCAGTGTCCTAGAACCTAATAAAAATATATCTAAATATAAATCATGTTTTTTAATGCTACATACCAAGTGGGCCCATTAAATATAGAGAGAGTCATGTCTTTCAGGTCTGGGAAGTTTCCCTTAATGCTACTTTTTAGAACAATCTGTATTTTCTGTTTCCTTTGAAAAATTTCAAACATAGAGAAAAAAAAAGACTATTCCAGTGAATTCTGAATACCCATTTTCTTCCTCTGTTTGGGCCACTGTAACAAAATACCATAAACTAGTTACCTTATGAACAAAAGAAACTGATTTCTCACAGTTGTGAAGGCTGGAAAGTACATGATCAAGATGTTGGCAGATTCAGTGTCTGGTAAGGACCTGCTTTCTGCTTCATAGTTGGCACCTTCTCTCTGTCCTCACATGGTAGAAAGGGAAAGGCAGTCCTCCGGGTCCTCTTTTATAAGGACACTAATTACATTCATGAGGGCTCTGCCTTCATGACCTAATCACTTCCCAAAGGCCGTACCTCCTTACCCCATTACATTAATACCTGAAGTTCAACATTTCATTTGGGGGTTGGGAGGACACAAACATTCGGACTCTATCATCCATCACCCAAATTCTTCAGTTGTTGCCATTTTGCCACATTTCCTTTATCTTTATTAATACACATACATACACATTTTTTTCTGAGTCATTTGAAAATATGTTGGGGACATCTTCACATTTTACCATTAATAATTTTAACATATATCTCCTTAGTATTAACAATATATCTCCAACCTAAGAAAATTAAAATGGACTTACTAATATTCTTAAGCATTTTATGTTTAGACAGCTCCAGTGGTTTTCAAACTCTCTTTATTTATCTGCTATTGTGTTTCTTTGTTTATTTGTTTGTTTGTTTTACTTGGGTGTGTGTTTGCGTCATCTAGGATCCAGTCAAGATTTATATATTGGTTTTGTCATTGGATCTCTTTAGTCTCTTTTATTCTGGAGCAGTCTCTCATTTTTTGTTTTATATGACATGAATTTTTCGGTGTTTTTTGAGACAGAGTTTCACTCTTGTTTCCCAGGCTGGAGTGCAATGGTACGATCTTGTCTTGCCACAACCTCTGCCTCCTGGGTTCAAATGGTTCTCCTGCCCCAGCCTCCTGAGTAGCTGGGATTACAGGCATGCAGTACCACAGCCGGCTAATTTTGTATTTTTAGTAGACACGGGATTTCTCCATGTTGGTCAGGCTGGTCTCGAACTCCTGGCCTCAGGTGATCTGCCCACCTCGGCCTCCCAAGGTGCTGGGATTACAGGCATGCGCCACCATGCCTGGCCCTGCTTTATATGACATTGAATTTTTTTAAGAATCCAGGACAATTATTTTATAGAATGTCCCATAACCTTTATTTGTCTCTTGGCTTTCTCATGTATAGGAAGCTTAGATTCAGGTAAATATATTTGGCAAGCATACCACATAGGTGGTATGATGGTACATCTTTCATTGTATTACGTTAGGAGGAACATATTGTCAGGTTGCTCCACTACTATTGATTCCAAGTGCTATAGTTTGGATGTTTGTCCCCTCCGAATCTTATGTTGAAAATTTCCCCCCAGTGTTGGTGGGGCCTAATGGCAGGTGTTTCTGTTATGGGGGTGGATCCCTGATGAATAGATTAATGCCCTCCCTGGGGGGCAGTGGGTGAGTGAGTTCTTGCTCTTATTAGTTCCCACAAGAGCTGGTTGTTAAAAAGAACCTAGCACCTCCCTCGACCCTCTCTTTTGCTTCCTCTCTCTCCACATAATCTCTGCACATCCCAGCTCCTCTTCGCCTTCTACTAGTGGAAGCAGCCTGAAACCTTCATCAGAAGAAGATGTTGGTGCCATGCATCTTGTACAGCCTGCAGAACTGTGAGCCAAATAAACCTCTTTCCTTTATAAGTTACCCTCCCTTAGCTATGCCTTCATAGCAACACAAGTAGACTAAGGCATCAAGTTTTACCACTTAAGATTAAGGTGGTGAGTACCAAATCTTTCTATTATACAGTTATACGTTTTTCCCTTTATAATTAATAAATAATCTGTAGAGTGATACTGTGAGATCAAGTGAATATCCTTTTCCCCAGCGCAATTCATTATCCAATTTTAGAATCCATTGAGGATCCTTGCCTGAATTTTTTATCCTATTGATGATTTTAAAATGGTGATTTTCGGGTTCCTCCATTTCTTCTAGCACGCTTTATAGATTCTTAGCAAACTGCTAAAAATGATTTCTTCTCAGTAGATGGTGGACTTTGTTGCTTGACCTCCCATATTTTCCTGTTTTCCATTTCTGTATCTTTTTTGTATGGGTTTTAAAGAGATTTTATTTATTTTTGAATGATTTGTTTTTATTCCCACTTTATATTTTCATTTTCTATGAATACTTTTTTTCACTTAATATTTCTTTCATATTATTCTATTCTTGTATCATGTGGAGTAGCTTCTCACATCCTATGAGAATATACATTGTGACTTGAGGTGTTCTTTGTTCTCCTATATAGTCTGTCTTCTGAATTCCTTTAGTTGCTTTGTTTACTGTCTTTTATCTTACAGGCTTTTCTCAAATATCTGATATTTGCCTATTTTTTGTTTATGTTGTTTTTGTATATATTTAAGGTATACAACATGAGGTTTTGATACATATTATGAAATGGCGACTGTAGTCAAGCAAATTAACATGTTCATCATCTCACATAGTTACACTTTTTATGTGTGTGTGGCAAGAGCACCTAAAAATCTACTCTCTTATCAAAAATCTCAAATACAATACAATGTCATTAACTATAGCCCTCATGTTGTACATTGGATCTCTAGACTTATTCATTCTACATGTCTGAAACTTTGTATCCTTTGACCTGCATCTCCCCATTTTTTCCCTGACAGTCCCTGGTAACTACCATTTTGTATACTATTTCTGTACTTTTTTTTTTTTACATTCTACATACAAGTGAGATCATGCAGTATTTCTCTTCCTCTGTCTCCCTTATTTCACATAGCATAATGTCCTCCAGTTTCATGTCTGTTTTGGCAAATGGCAGGATCTCTTTCATTTTCAGTGGTGAATAATACTCATTTATAGGTATCATAATTTCTTCATCTGTTCATCAGTGGATACATAGGTTATTTTCACGTCTTGGCTATTGTGAATAATACTGCTTTGAACATGTTGGGGGGTACACATATCTTCATGAGGTGGTGATCTATTTGTAATTTAGAGTGGGCTCTAAGAAGCTGTATGCTAAATTTTTGCATGTTGATTGTTAGACTTTTATGGGTACTTAGTTCCCTCCACTTCTTAAGTTTTTCTGAGGTTCTGCAGCATAAATCATACACTTTTTTACACACAAAAAAGTATTAACTATATGTGGGCTTTCCTTCCTTCTAGTTAAGATTATATTTTTTTTGGTTGGTCATCATTTATCTTACACTTTCAACTTAAAATCTTGGCTGGGCATGGTGGCTCATACCTGTCATCCCAGCACTTTGGGGGGCTGAGGCAGGTGGATCACCAAAGGTCAAGAGTTTGAGACCAGCCTGGCCAATATGGTGAAACCCCACCTCTAAAAATACAAAAATCAGCCAGGCGTGGTGGTGGGCACCTGCAGTCCCAGCTATTTGGGAGGCTGAGGCAGGCGAATCACTTGAACCTGGGAGGCAGAGGTTGCAGTGAGCTGAGATTGCGCCATTGCCCTCCAGCCTGGGTGACAAGAGTGAAACTCCGTCCAAAAAAAAAGGAGCCAGGCATGGTGGCTCACGCCTGTAATCCCAGCACTTTGGGAGGCTGAGGTCAGGAGTTCAAGACCAGCCTGACCAACATGGAGAAACCCTGTCTCTGCTAAAAATATAAAATTAGCCAGGCGTGGTGGCACATGCCTGTAATCCCAGGTACTCAGGAGGCTGAGGCAGGAGAATCGCTTGAACCCGGGAGGCAGAGGTTGCGGTGAGCTGAGATCATGCCATTGCATTCCAGCCTGGGAGACAAGAGCGAAACTCCATCTCAAAATAAATTAATTAATTAACTAACTTAAAATGTTTTGTTGCTGCAGCTTCCTCTTTAATTTCCTTTTATGTGGTGGGTTTGTTCCTTTTTACAAATTCCTTTTCATTCCTTTTAGTGAGGTTTCGGAAAGGGTACAGGGATAAATGCACGTGATCCACTGCCCTTTTTCAGAGAAATTATGTCCTACGTCTAGAGAAATCTAGTTTTTATATGTTTATTTGTAAGGATAATACATTTTGAAAATAATTTATTATATTAGCTATTCAATAAATGCATTTAGTTTTTTTTCATGTACCAGAGTTCAAGTTGATTACCAGATATTATCTTTGTCTTCATGAAGCTTGGCTCTATTGTAGCAGACAGAGATTAAACAAGCATTCAAACAAATATGAAAAATTTAACTGTAGGGAATGGATGTGTAAATTACCCATTATCAAAACCAAATACAAAGAAAAGAGGAAAAAAGAGCTCTGAGAAATGATGATAGAGTGTGCATAATTAAGACTGAACATGCAGAAAATATTTTAAAGATATATCGTTTAGCAGAGATCTAAACCATTGCCAGAAACTTGCAAGGCCAAGAGGAGGGGCAGTGGATATAGGGGGCCATTTCAGGCAGGTGAAATCGTGATGGGGATGGGTGGGTAAAGTTTTGTGCATTTGAAGAACTATGAAGGCCACTGTGGCTACAGCTTATTGTTGGGTGGGGGCATGCAGAGAGGGATATTAGGTTGTAGAGACAGGCAGATCACTGAGGAACTTTTACGAGCAAGTTCATTTTGAGCAGAACAGTTCCAGGCTAAGTATCTCTCTGGGTGCTAAGAGTGCAAAACTGGAAATGCAGGAAGCTGGAAGAAATGGTGCTTTAGTGTCCAAGCAAAAGGTAATTTTGATTTGGATTAGCCAGTTGGAGATTGGAAGAACAATTTCAAGGCATATTTAGACCTGCTCTAAACAGGATTTTATGTGAATTGTAGAACGAGATTGATGCTGGAATGTTTTCACTTTTTGGGGTTTGAGGTATTAACTCAGGGCCTTAGATAGTATCTTTAAATCCATTCCTTTTCCTAGTCTCTACTTTTGTGGCAAATAAATCTCCCAAAATAAGCACTGCACAGTTACTTTATGTAAGTATATAAGTAGATTAGGTATGATCAGAATCATTCCATAATCATCAAAGATGAGGTTCAGGATATTTATGTATCTTCATCTTTATATATCTTCATCTTTCTTGTAATCTTCTAGTAGTATCACATTGCCTCCTGTCTTGACTTCCCATTCCTCTCATGTTAAAACTAGATTCTGCTCCTCTGCTGTAGCCCTTACTGAGCTCCTCCTTCTCTCAATGTTATCATCATAGAATTTGGAGGCAAACTTAACCATAACAAACCACATTCTAACCACAGATGAATCTTTCCTCTCCATAGCTCATTGCATACTCATTTAGCACATTAGTCTTTTATTCAGAAACTGCTCTTTGTGGATTATCTTTCTTTTCTGTCTCTATCAGTTTATCTGCAAATTATGTTTATTACTGAATCATCCCAGATTTTCCACCCCAGGAAAAATGTAGTACTCCAAACAACCCTGATAAATGAATATGAGAATTACCCTCATTTATAAATGTTTATAACACTAGATTCATCTCTTAAGAAATTAAGACAGGGCCAAGACATCTGTATAATTACCAAGCTTTCAAAGTCTGCAGGGAACTTTAAACTATTTAAAAATAATGTTTCCTGAATACCTCCTTCACTTTTCTAGTCTGACTTTTACTTATTTTCTCTGCTTCCCTAATCTGTTTGTCAAATTGCCCCAGTCACATGTGAGAACTGTATAAGCAACTCAATTTTTTATGAAAATTAAACTGTAGTTGTCTTTCGTATCTATTATAAACGTTTAATCTCTCCCAGAACACAAAAAAGTGAATGTTTGCTTTTATATTTTCTTTCAGACTGTGAATCAAAGTTGAGACCAAGAAATTATTTCTGAAAAAGGATATTTATGGAATAGAATCATCCTGATGGGAGATAATGGAAAACCTTACAAAACACAGCATTGAGTGTTCAAGTTTCAGAGGTGATTGGGAATGTAAAAGCCAGTTTGAGACAAAACAGGGATCTCAGGAAGGACATTTCAGTGAAATGATATTTACTCCTGAAGACATGCCCACTTTCAGTATCCAGCATCAGAGAATTCATACTGATGAGAAACTCCTTGAATGTAAGGAATGTGGGAAGGATTTTAGTTTTGTATCGGTCCTTATTCGACATCAGCGAATTCATACTGGTGAGAAACCTTATGAATGCAAAGAATGTGGCAAGGCCTTTGGTAGTGGTGCAAACCTTGCTTACCATCAAAGAATTCACACTGGTGAGAAGCCTTTTGAATGTAAAGAATGTGGGAAGGCCTTTGGTAGTGGCTCAAACCTTACTCACCATCAGAGAATTCATACTGGTGAGAAACCCTATGAATGTAAGGAATGTGGGAAAGCCTTTAGTTTTGGGTCAGGCCTTATTCGACATCAGATCATTCACAGTGGTGAAAAGCCTTATGAGTGTAAGGAATGTGGGAAGTCCTTCAGTTTTGAATCAGCCCTTACTCGGCATCACAGAATTCACACAGGTGAGAAACCTTATGAATGTATAGATTGTGGTAAAGCCTTTGGCAGTGGTTCAAACCTTACTCAACATCGGCGGATTCATACTGGTGAGAAACCTTATGAGTGCAAAGCATGTGGAATGGCCTTTAGCAGTGGTTCAGCCCTTACTCGGCATCAGAGAATTCATACCGGTGAGAAACCATACATATGTAATGAATGTGGGAAGGCCTTTAGTTTTGGATCAGCCCTTACACGACATCAGAGAATTCATACTGGCGAGAAACCTTATGTATGTAAGGAATGTGGGAAGGCTTTTAATAGTGGCTCAGATCTCACTCAACATCAGAGAATTCACACTGGTGAGAAACCCTATGAGTGTAAAGAGTGTGAGAAAGCCTTTAGAAGTGGTTCAAAACTTATTCAGCATCAAAGAATGCATACTGGTGAGAAACCTTATGAATGTAAGGAATGTGGGAAGACCTTTAGTAGTGGTTCAGACCTTACTCAACATTACAGAATTCATACTGGTGAGAAACCCTATGAATGTAAGGAATGTGGGAAGGCCTTTGGTAGTGGCTCAAAACTTATCCAACACCAGTTAATCCATACTGGTGAAAGACCCTATGAATGTAAAGAATGTGGAAAGTCCTTTAGTAGTGGTTCAGCTCTTAATCGGCACCAGAGAATACACACTGGTGAGAAACCCTATGAATGTGGGGAGTGTGGGAAAGCTTTTTGTAGTGGCTCAAGCCTTACTCAGCATCAGAGAATTCATACAGGTGAGAAACCTTATGAATGTAAGAACTGTGGGAAGGCTTACGGGAGGGGTTCAGAGTTTCAGCAACATAAGAAAAGTCATAATGGTAAGAAACTCTGTGAATTGGAGACTATGAATTGAAATTATGTGCTGAAGGAAGGACTCTAAACATATGACATAAGAAAATTCATAGTGGTGAAAATCTCTACAAATAAAACTAAGGTACAGATGCCTTACTTATGCTTCACAGGTTAGTCAGTCTAAGAAAATTTATACAGGAAAAAAATCACCCCAAATAAAATAAATATTTGAAGATCCTTATCTATATTCATTCCTTCATTACTTTGGAAAATTCTTACTTGTGAATATTAAAAATGAAAAAAAATCATTTATTGTATTTTGCCTCTATTTTAAACATTGGAAAACTCATTTCTGGGTTAACCCTACTATATTTTTTCAATGATCTTTTTTTTTGTATTATACAGAATTACTGATTCATCTGAAAGTTATTTATTGCAAGTCTAAATTTATCCTTTTCTTCTTTCTTGATTATCGTCCTAACACCATTTATTGAATAACCTTGTCCATTTCATATTGTTTTTTATCGACTATTTGATGGTAAGTTACATTTGTATTCACATAAAGTTTGGATATCAGGTCAGTGGTTTTTTTTTCTTTTTTTTTTTTGAGACAGAGTCTCACTCTTTTGCCAGGCTGGAGTACAATCTTGGTTCACTGCAACCTCCACCTCCTGGGTTCAAGTGATTCTCCTTCCTCAGCCTCCCGAGTAGCTGGGGCTACAGGTGCCCGCCACCACGCCCGGCTAAGTTTTTGTATTTGCATTAGAGACGGGGTTTCACCATGTTGGCCAGGATTGTCTCGATCTCTTGACCTCATGATCCATCGGCCTCGGTGTCCCAGAGGCTGGAATTACAGGCATGAGCCACCGTGCCTGGCCCAGTGTTTGTTTTTTAAATTTGCGTATATGTATCTATGTTTCATCCTATTTATGGTGAATAACTGTTACTTCTAAGTATCCTTTAATACCTGTACCTTTTGTTTTAAGATTGTTTACTTTCCTTTTATAAAATTTTACTCTCCATTCTGCAAAACAGCTTTCCCTCATCATAATGTAGATAAGAAGAAAAAAAGGATATGGTTACCTGTAATCTTACCAATCACAGATAATCACTGTCAAACTTTTGGAGCAAATCCTTTAATACTATCTCTCTCATTGTTTTGGAAACAAGGTGTGATTATGCTATACTATAACCAGCCCTTAGTATTTTTTTGTCTGTAAATATGTTGTTACCATTTTATTGGCTTTATAATATTCACCTGTCTTTATCAAACCCCAATTTTGTCAAGTATTAAAAATTTTGCCATTACAAACACTTACCTTGATGGCCCCTTTTCAGTGTGTCTGCATTATTTATTTATTGTTCATTTCAGAGATAATGTATCAATTGCTTTTGCATATAAAAGATTTTTACATTACAGATAAAGCTGGCCTTGCCTTTGAGCAGCATTCCTGGCCTCAGTTCCTTTGCATTGTTAACCAATTTACTTATTCTTCTAGATCCTTTTATATGCATCTGTAACATACCTATGTGGGTAGAATCAGAATACCTAAGAGCATTGTTGTGTGGATTCTATAATTGTGCCTATCACATAAGAAATGCTTAGTGAATGTTACCCATCACCATTATCTTCTCAAGCTTCATTTTTATTATTTACAGAAAAACTTTTAGCCATGATCCATACCTTACTCAACAACAGAGACCCTGTAATGGAGAAAGACATTCATTTAAATGAATGTAGGCAAAGTTTGACTGACATTCATTCCTTGTTGAATAAGAATATTTGCTGCCAGGTACAGTGGCTCACGCCTGTAATTTCAGCACTTTGGGAGGCCAAGGTGGGTGAATCACTTGAGGCCAGGAGCCTAGCCAATGTGGTGAAACCCCATCTCTATTAAAAATACAAAAATTGGCCGGGCGTGGTGGCTCAAGCCTGTAATCCCAGCACTTTGGGAGGCCAAGATGGGTGGATCACGAGGTCAGGAGATCGAGACCATCCTGGCTAACACGGTGAAACCCCGTCTCTACTAAAACATACAAAAAACTAGCTGGGCGAGGTGGTGGGCACCTGTAGTCCCAGCTACTCAGGAGGCTGAGGCAGGAGAATGGCCTAAACCTAGGAGGCGGAGCTTGCAGTGAGCTGAGAGATCCGGCCACTGCACTCCAGCCTGGGCGACAGAGCAAGACTCCGTCTCAAAAAAAAACACAAAAATTAGCCAGGCTTGGTGGCGTGTGCCTGTAGTTCCAGGTACTCGGGAGGCTGAGGCATAAGGATTGCTTGATCCTGGGAGGTGGAGGTTGCAGTGAAACAAGATCGCACCACTGAACTCCAACCTGGGTGACAGAGCAAGGCTCTGTCTCAGAAAAAATAGAAATAAAAAAAATTCATTTGTCCTACAGAAAATATAATAAGATTACAAAATGTGAGAAGACAAATACACTATAAAATTTGTACCAAGGTAGAAGTAAAAAAACTATGGCAATATTCTTCATTGAAATCCAAATACTAATTCAGTACTCATCTGCATGATTCTTTGCTTAAAAATAAAATGCAGGCAGGCATAGTAATTCATGCCTGCAATCCCAGCACTTTGCGAGGCTGAGGCAGGAGGATTGCTGGAAGCCTAGTGTTTGAGACCAGCCTGGGTGACATAGCAAGCCCCCATCTCTACAATAAAAGTTTTAAAAAGAATGAGCCAGGTATGGTGGCCTCCAGCTACTGGAGGCTGAGGTGGGAGGACCAGTTGAGCCTAGGAATTCAAGGCCTCAGTGTGCTATTATTGTGCCACTGCACTCTAGCCTGGACAACAGAGTAAGACCCTGTCTCTAAAAATAAATGAATAAATTAATTAAAATCAAATAAATTATTTTTTAAATAAATGGCACTGAATAGATTACATAGCAAAACTTATGAGGACCTGTAATATAGAGAGGAAATTGTATAGCTCTAAATTCATTCATTTGTTAGAATATTAAAGAAATTGTAAATAAAGAAACCAAGCATATAACCCAAGAAGCTGGAGAAAGAATAACTACAACAAAAACCCTAAGGAAAATGGGAGGGAAAACTAATTTTAGAATAAAAAAATCTAGATCAATAATCACAACGTGCTGTTTTGAAAACAAAATAGTAGCAGTTCTTATAAATAAAGGTATATGAACATGAATGCAAAGATGACATTGCTCTACAGACTTTACAGATTACAGGTTGAGCATCCTTAATTTGAAAATTCAAAATCTGAGGCCGGGCGCGGTGGCTCAAGCCTGTAATCCCAGCACTTTGGGAGGCCGAGGCGGGTGGATCACGAGGTCAGGAGATCGAGACCATCCTGGCTAACATGGTGAAACCCCGTCTCTACTAAAAATACAAAAAAACTAGCCGGGCGTGGTGGCGGGCGCCTGTAGTCCCAGCTACTCGGAGGCTGAGGCAGGAGAATGGCGTGAACCTGGGAGGCGGAGCTTGCAGTGAGCCGAGATCACGCCACTGCACTCCAGTCTGGGTGACACAGCGCGAGACTCCGTCTCAAAAAAAAAAAAAAAAAAAAAAAAAAAAAATTCAAAATCTGAAATGCTCCAAATTCCAAAACTTTTTGAGCTCAACATGATGCTCAAAGATAATTTCAGACTTTTGGATTAAGTATGCTTACCTGGTAAGTGTAATGCTAATATTCCAAAATCCAAACACTTCTGGGTCCCAAGCATTTTAGATAAGGGATACTCAGCTTTTGTTTACTGCTATTACACATTACCTTTTAATAATTATTTTGAAAATTAAAATGAACATTTTAGTGAAAGGATTTTAATCACGAGAATTGACTCAAAGTGTCATAGAAATGGGTATTATATAAGAGATATAAAGCAAAAACTATAGGAAGGCTGGAAAAAAAACCCTGTGGCCAAAGTCTCTTTTATACTCCTTTACCCCCCAGTCAGGTCCCCTGAGTGAATATTTTGGCATTCAATCACATTTTGCATTGGAAAGAACAAAAGATGAAAATATATCAGCATTAGTATATTTTATAATTTTTAAATTTGAGATAATTAAGTTTTTTAATTTTTAAAAGATATGGAAAAGAAATGATTAAAAACAGACTAACTTATGAACTCTTGAGATGCCACATATAAAATGCATCACTTTAAATATACAACTAATTTTTAAAATCCTGCAGATTAATCTGTTGTAGATATATATTGAATCCCACTTTCAGAGACTAAAATGTTGGGTAAAAAGTGCATTTTAGAACTGATAAACTACTTCATCAATGATTTTAATGATTTCTTTAGATTTTCAAGTTTGTTGATATTGGCAAACATAATTGGCTTTCAGTTTTCAGTCTCTCTATATATTTGTATTTCTACTCATAGTTTTATTTTTAAACCACTTTATTCTTCTAAATTGATTTGAAGGAGTCCCATTCATTTTACTTGTTTTTTTTTTTTAAATCTTATCTGGGTTTTCTTCATGCTTTTGACTATTTTTGTTTGCTTTTTCTATTTCAAAAATATATTTCACTATTTTCTTTTTATCTGTGTGTATTTCTGTTGAGTACATATGCTTAGCTAATATATTTTCAGTCCCTTTTAAATTGAAAGCATTTAAGGCTACAAGATTTCCTTTGAATATTGCTATATCTGGGGCCCATAGTTTTTCTTCTTCTTCTTCTTTTCTGAGATGGAGTCTCACTCTGTCGCCAGGCTGGAGTGCAGTGGCGCGATCTCAGCTCACTGCAGCCTCCACCTCCCAGGTTCAAGCAACTTTCCTGCCTCAGCCTCCTGAGTAGCTGGGACTACAGGTGTGCGTCACCATGCCCGGTTAATTTTTGTATTTTTTAGTAGAGACAGGGTTTCACCATGTTGGCCAGGATGGTCTCGATCTCTTGACCTTGTGATCTGCCCACCTCAGCCTCCCAAAGTGCTGGGATTACAGGTGTCAGCCACTGCACCCGGCCCCATAGTTTTTTAAAAAATTAACTTCTAGATAATTCTTATTTTAATCTTGATTTCTTTTTGATTCACTAGTTATGTAGGTGTCTGTATGTTTGTGTGTGTTTCTAAATTTTCAAAAACTTGTGAAAAAGATTTAGCATATGAAATTATAATGTGCATGATCTGTGAAACTTAATTAAAAAGTTAAAACATTAATTTATTATTTGTGGCCAAATACAGGTTAGGTTTTTAATATGTTTTATAGATATATGATGTGAAATGATATATATTCTCTATAAAACACAAAGTTCTATT